ACTAAAAATACAAAATTAGCCATGCGTGGTGGCACATGCCTGTCATCCTAGCTACTCGGGAGGGTGAGGCAGGAGAATCGCTTGAACCTGGGAGATGAAGGTTGCTGTGAGCCGAGATTGCGCCATTGTACTCCAGCCTGGGCAACAAGAGTGAAACTCCATGTAAAAAAAAAAAGAAAATTCAAGAGAATCCACAAATTATTAGAGCTGTTAATATCAGTTCTGCAAGGTTGCTGAGTTTCAGATCAGTAACGTTTTGATTGAGCCATATGAAATTATAATTTATGTAGGCCAAAATGGTCAAATAAATATATATTTGCAGTTTCGTATGATTTTTTAAAATTATTATTATATCATTTATTGAGTATTTTTTTTTATTGTACTTTAGGTTGTGGGGTACATGTGCAGACCATGCAGGATTGTTGCATAGGTACACACATGGCAATGTGGTTTGCTGCCTCCATCTCCCCGTCACCTACATCTGGCATTTCTCCCCATGTTATCCCTCCCCCACCTACCCACCCCTCTGCTGTCCCTCCCTTGGCCCCCACCAACAGACTCCAGGGTATGATGCTCCCCTCCCTGTGTCCATATGTTCTCATTGTTCATCACCCACCTATGAGTGAGAACATGCGGTGTTTGATTTTCTGTTCTTGTGTCAGTTTGCTGAGAATGATGGTTTCTAGATTCATTCACGTCCCTACAAAGGACACAAGCTCGTCATTTTTTAATGGCTGCATAGTACTCCATGGTGGATATGTGCCACATTTTCCTTGTCCAGTCTATCATCAGTGACCATTTGGGTTGGTTCCAGGTCTTTGCTATTGTAAACAGTGCTGCAGTGAACATACATGTGCATGTGTCTTTACAATAGAATGATTTATAATCCTTTGGGTATATACTCAGGAATGGGATTGCTGGGTGAAATGGAATTTCTATTTCTAGGTCCTTGAGGAAACACCACACTGTCTTCCACAATGGTTGAACTAATTTACACTACTCCCACCAACAGTGTAAAAGTGTTCCTATCTCTCCACATCCTCTCCAGCATCTGTTGTCTCCAGATTTTTTAATGATCATCATTCTAACTGGCATCAGGTGGTATCTCAATCAGGTTTTGATTTGCATTTCTCTAATAATCAGTGATGAACATTTTTTCATGTTTGTTGGCCTCATATATGTCTTCTTTTGAAAAATATCTGTTCATATCCTTCACCCACTTTTGGATGGATTTGTTTGTATGTTTTTTCTTGTAAATCCGTTTTAGCTTTTTGTAGATTCTGGATATTAGCCCTTTGTCAGATGAGTAGATTGCAAAAAATTTTTCCTATTCTGTTGTTTGCTGGTTCACTCTAATGATTGTTTCTTTTGCTGTACAGAAGCTCTGGAGTTTAATTAGGTCCCACTTTGTCTATTTTGGCTTTTGTTGCCAGTGCTTTTGGTGTTTTAGTCATAAGTCCTTGCCTATGCCTATGTCCTGAATGGTTTTGCCTAGGTTTTCTTCTAGGGTTTTTATGGTGTTAGGTCTTATGTTTAAGTCTTTAATCCATCTGGAGTTAATTTTAGTGTAAGGCGTCAGGAATGGGTCCAGTTTCTGCTTTCTGCACATGGCTAGCCAGTTTTCCCAACACCATTTATTAAACAGGGAATCCTTTCCCCATTGCTTGTTTTTGTCAGGTTTGTCAAAGATCAGATGGTTGTAGATGTGTGGTGTTGCCTCCAGGGCCTCTGTTCTGTTCCATTGGTCTATATGTCTGTTTTGGTACCAGTATCATGCTGTTTTGATTACTATAGCCTTATAGTATAGTTTGAAATCAGGTAGCGTGATGCCTCCGGCTTTGTTCTTTTTGCTTAGGATTGTCTTGGCTATTATGCAGGCTCTCTTTTGGTTCCATATGAAGTTTAAGGTTGTATTTTCAAGTTCTGTGAAGAAGGTCATTGGTAGCTTGATGGGAATAGCATTGGATCTATAAATTACTTTGGGCAGTATGGCCATTTTCACGATACTGATTCTTCCTAACTATAAGCATGGAATGTTTCTCCATCTGTTTGTGTCCTCTGTTATTTCCTTGAGCAGTGGTTTGTAGTTCTCCTTGAAGAGGTCCTTTACATTCTTTGTTAGTTATATTCCTAGGTATTTTATTCTCTTTGTAGCAATTGTGAATGGGAGTTTGCTCATGATTTGGCTCTCTGTTAGTCTGTTATTGATGTATAGAAATGCTTGTGATTTCTGCACATTGATTTGGTATCCTGAGACTTTGCTGAAGTTGCTTATCAGTTTAAGGAGGTTTTGGGCTGAGATGATAGGTTCTTCTAAATATATAGTCATGTCGTCTGCAATAGAGACGATTTGACTTCCTCTTTTCCTAATTGAATACCCTTCATTTTTTTTTTTCTTGCCTAATTGCTCTGGCTAGAACTTCCAATACTATATTGAATAGGAGTGGTGAGAGAGGGCATCCTTGTCTAGTGCTGGATTTCAAAGGTAATGCTTCCAGTTTTTGCCCATTCAGTATGATATCGGATGTAGGTTTGTCGTAAATAGCTTTTATTGTTTTGAGATATGTTCCTTTGGTACCTAGTTCATTGAGAGTCTTTAGCATAAAGGGCTGTTGAATTTTGTTGAAGGCCTTTTCTGCATCTGTTGAGATGATCATGTGGTTTTTGTCTTTGGTTCTGTTTATGTAGTGGATTACGTTTATAGACTTGCGTATGTTGAACCAGCCTTGCATCCCTGGAATGAAGCCTACTTGATTGTGATGGATAAGCTTTTTGATATGCTGTTGCAATAGGTTTGCCAATATTTTATTAAAGATTTTTGCATCTACGTTCATCATGGATATTGGCCTGAAGTTTTCTTTTTTTGTTGTCTCTGCCAGGTTTTGGCATCAGGATGATGTTGGTCTCCTAAAATGATTTGGGAAGGATTCCCTCTTTTTGTATTGTTTGGAATAGTTTCAAAAGGAATGGTACCAGCTCCTTTTTTGTATGTCTGGTAGAATTCGGCTGTGAACCTGTCTGGACCTGGACTTTTTTTGGTTGGTAGGCTGCCTCAACTTCAGCCCTTGTTATTGGTCTATTCAAGGTTTCCACTTCTTTCTGGTTTAGGTTTGGGAGGGTGCAAGTGTCCAGGAATTTATCCATTTCTTCCAGGTTTACTGGTTTATATGCATAAAGTTGTTTGTAGTAATCTCTGATTGTCGTTTGTATTTCTGTGGAATCAGTGGTGATATTCCCTTTATTGTTCTTTATTGCATCTATTTGATTCTTCTCCCTTTTCTTTTTTATTAATCTGGCTAGCGGTCTGTCTATTTTGTTGATCTTTTCAAAAAACCAGCTCCTGGATTTATTGATTTTTTGAAGGGTTTTTTGTGTCTCTGTCTTCTTCAGCTCTGCTCTGATCTTAGTTATTTCTGGTCTTCTGCTAACTTTTGAGTTTTTTTTATCTTGCTCCTCTAGCTCTCTTTCAATTTTGACGATAGGGTGTTGATTTTAGATCTTTCCTCGCTTCTCATGTCAGCATTTATTGCTATACATTTCCCTTTAGATACTGCTTTAAATGTGTCCCAGAGATTCTGGTATGTTGCGTCTTTGTTCTTGTTGGTTTCAAAGAACATCTTTATTTCTGCCTTCATTTCATTGTTTATCCAGTCGACATTGAGGAGCCACTTGTTCAGTTTCCATGATGTTGTGCGGTTCTGAGTTAGTTTCTTAATTCTGAATTCCAATTTGATTGCCTTGTGGTCTGAGAGACTGTTTGTTATTATTTCCATTCTTTTGCATTTGCTGAGGAGTGATTTACTTCCAATTATGTGGTCAGTTTTAGAGTAGGTGCAATGTGGTGCTGAGAAAAATGCATATTCTGTGGATTTAGGGTGGAGATTTCTGTAGATGTCTATTAGGTCTGCTTAGTCCAGATCTGAGTTCAAGTCCTGGATATCCTTGTTAATTTTCTGTCTTGTTGATCTGTCTAATATTGACAGTGGAGTGTTAAAGTCTCCCACTATTATTGTGTGGGAGTCTAAGTCTCTTTGTAGGTCGTTAAGAACTTGCTTTATGTACCTGGGTGCTCCTGAATTGGAGGCTTATATATTTAGGATCATTAGCTCTTCTTGATGCATTGATCCTTTTACCACTATGTAATGCCCTTGTCTCTTTTGATCTTTGTTGGTTTAAAGTCCATTTTATCAGAGACTAGGATTGCAACTCCTCCTTTTTTTTGCTCTCCATTTGCTTGATAAATCTTCCTCCCTCCCTTTATTTTGAGCCTATGTGTGTCCTTGCACGTAAGATGGGTTTCCTGAATACAGCACACTGATGGGTCTTGACTTTTTATCCAATTTGCCAGTCTGTGTCTTTTGATTAGGGCATTTAGCCCATTTACATTTAAGGTTAATATTGTTATGTGTGAATTTGATCCTGCCATTTTGATGCTATCTGGTTGTTTTGCCCATTGACACATTTTTTTTCATTGTGTTGATGGTCTTTACCATTTGGTATGTTTTTGGAGTGGCTGGTACTTGCAGTTTCATATGATTAAACCTAATACAGAAATCAGTCACATTCCTGTCTACCAGCAGTAATCATTTAGTAAATGCATACTTTTTTAAAGGTCCTATTCACAGTAGCCACAAAAAAAGTATCCAGGAAATAGCTAAATAAGAAATGTATATCTTGGGGAGGAACATAATCAAAAGACCTGAATAAACAGAGAGATACCATGTTCATGGATGGGAAGGCTCCATATCATAAAGAGGTAATTTTCCCTAAATAAGTTTATAAATTTGATAAATGCTAATAAAAATTTCAAATGATTAAGGGTGAGTCAAATAGGCCAATAGAAGAGACTAGGGGGAAAAATCCAGATATATTGACAACCTAAGTGTAAACTTCAAAACTTTTACAAGAAACTGTTGGCAAATATCTTCATTGCCTTAGCATAAGAAAAGATTTTATAAACAAAAGATGAAATTATAAGATGCATCATATGGCTGCCTGCCATGCCATTTCTAGAGCTGGACATGAATTTGCTTGCAAACTGAGTGCCCATGGGGCTGGAGAAATGGCTCTGCAATGCCACTGCCTCCATCCTGGGCAAACCTGCGGACCACATGAACGTGACTGTCTGGCTGGGCCTGGCCCTGGCGCTGAGTGGGTTCACTGAGCCCTGTGCACAGCCGTCCATCTCCTCCATTGGCATAGTGGGCGCCTCCGAGGACCACCGCAACCACAGCGCCCACTTCTTTGAGTTTCTCACCAAGGGGCTAGCTCCAGAGCAGGACAGGATAATTATCTGCTTTTTACCCCTGGAGCCCTGGCAGATTGGCAAGAAAGGGACAGTCATGACATTTTTATGATTGGCACAGAGGGATCCAGGGCATCTGTGAGCTGGCTACCTCTTCCAGGAATACCTCTTTGCAGAGTGAGGGCCTGGTGATACCAGCTTCAGATAATCCTGCATGCAACATTCCTGTGATCACATAATCCTCTTCTTCATCCTCATACAAAATAAATGAAGAGAGCTTCCTCATTCAAAAAAAAAAAAAAAAGATGCATCATATGATTGTATTAACTGTAAATCTTATGTATGACAAAAGATGCCTTAAACAAAAGACAAACTGTAGACAGAGGATATTTACAACACATCTGACTGCCAGAGGCCTTGTATTCAGAATATATAAAAAAAACTCTAATCATTTAATATGAAAAATACAAACAACCTAATCAAAAAATAGGCAAAGTTTGGTTGATTTCTTGGAATATGTATTGCCTATTATTTTGTTTCTGCCAATATTAAATATGATATTTCTATTGATAGCACCTTCAAAGCAGTTTAGTTCTTATTAGTTTTGGTAAATTTGTATGTGAGTGGTGGCTATAGTGGTGATTATATGTGTTTTTGTTTTTGAATATTTTGAGACGGAGTTTCACTCTTGTTTGCCCAGGCTGGAGTTCAGTGGCATGATCTCGGCTCACCGCAACCTCTGCCTCCCAGGTTCGAGTGATTCTCCCACCTCAGCCTCCTGAGTAGCTGGGATTACAGGCATGCGCCACCACACCTGGTTAATTTTGTATTTTTAGCAAAGATGGGGTTCCTCCATGTTGGTCATGCTGGTCTTGAACTCCTGGCTTCAGGTGATTCACCTGCCTTGGCCTCCCAAAGTGCTGAGATTATAGGTGTGAGCCACTGTGCCTGGCCATGATTATATTTTTGTGAACTCACAGAAGAGAAAAGAAAATGGCCAATAGATATATGAAGAAATGTTCAGTTTTACTTTAATAATTTAGAAAATGCAAATTTAAAAAATTTTAAATTCTGAGAGTGGTCAGTCACATTTGACTAAGAGCCAGGTTTGTAATCCATCTCACAGCTCAGCCATGTACCAGCAATGCAGACCCAGACAAATTTTGTCTGACTATATCCTTTTTTTTAATTTTTTTTATTTTTTTTTTATTTTTTATTTTTCCCCATTTATTTATTTTACTGCATTTTAGGTTTTGGTGTTTTTTTTTTTTTTTTTTTTTTTTTCTGAGACTAGGTCTTGCTCTGTTGCCCAGGCTAGAGGGCAGTGGTGCGATCTCAGCTCACTGTAACCTCTGCCTCCAGGGTTCAAGCAATTCTTCTACTTCAGCCTCCCAAGTAGCTGGGACTACAGGCGCTCACCACCATACCTGGCTAATTTTTATATTTTTAGTAGAGACAGGGTTTCATCATGTTGGCCATGCTGGTCTTGAACTCCTGACCTTAAGTGATCTACTTGCCTTGGCCTCCCAAAGTGCTGAGATTACAGGCATGAGCTACTGCGCCCAGCCTGTCTGACTATATTCTACTTGGATAGATCTTAAATAAATGGAGAGTAACCTACCTCTGAAAATGCCAGCTAGCTAGCTTCTTACTCAGAGCCCTCCTAGGTGGCATTACCTTGGTGAAGTCATAACTAGGGTCTAGACCTTATC